CCAGGGGCAGACCATCCTCAGCAACCTCTAGCTGGTCGAGGACTTTCCTCATCTCAGTGAGCTGGACTCACAGATGGTTCTGCTGGTGTATGCTGATGACATACTCCTTGTGGCCCATGAGCTGGGAGACCTGGGTGCAGGTGGAACCTTGCAAAGTCATGTAATCAGCAGCCTCCTCTGCTCAGGTCAAGTAGGTCAAGAGCTGTGACCTGATGGTTGGGAACAGGTGCAAGGGTGCCATTTAGCGAGGGGAGGGGAGGGCTGAAGTCCCCCCACACCACGTGAATTTCATACCCTAGCTGGGAGCAACACTGCTTGCTCTGTCCTCTCCCCCACTCCCCTCACCAGCCCGGAGCAATGTGGCTCACTCTTCTCCTCTCCCTGGGCTGGCTATTTTTTGCTCAGCCAATAGGAATGCAGAAGTGTATCTGACAAAGCCAATAGCAGGGCTGGGAGCTTCTGCCGCACTTTTTTCAAATTCATTTTCTTGAAACAAACAGGCTCAGCGTCCAGGGAGTGGTCAGGGGAGGGAAGGTCGGAAGATGCTTGCTGCAGATTTCATCCTGATCTGCCCCCCACCTTCACATGTTGACATGTTACAAAGGCAGGAGCAAGCCCCTTGTGACACCAGTAGACACAGGGCTCCTCAGGCAGGGGAGGGGGCTGCTGCCCCAGGCACATTCAGGGGATAATTATCCCCACAGACAGCCCAGCTATGGAAGTTTCAGGCTGCAAGAGCGGTGCTGAAGGATGACCACCTGAGATCTTTCCCTGCTGTCAAGAAACAAACATGTTCTGTCACACCACAAACCTTGTTTAAATTACACTTAAAACATTCCCATTTTTTCCAACTCTCTAATTTTTTGGAGGAATGGCAGTACCCCAGTGTGGTGATTTAGTCTACCATTTAGTCCCACTTGTCTGTAAGAGTCTTTCCTTTGCCTACAATGGGTTTTGGGTCAGGTTACCAGGTAGGGCCATATAGGCTGTTACACACAAATGCTGATTCCTCTGTGAATACTTTGATCTTACCAAAACTCCCCAGGGTTGCATTTTTCTAGGGCCTTTTTCCTAGAACACCTTTTGAGGAGCTGCTGCTCCTTAATATATGTGCAGAATGATACAAGCAATTGCTTCCCTTAAGCAGCCATTTTATAGCTGTGTTCTGCTGTGCTGTATCTCCTTGTCTTCCAACTGGTAAGTAATCTTAGCTCCTGTTTACTTACTCTTTAATATTTCTGAGGTTGGCAGAGTCTCACAAAATTGAGTACTATCCGTGAATTTCATTGAAGTGATGTTTACTCTCTCAAATCCTTCCAACTTAATCCTTTGTATTTATCATAACTATTTGTCACTGTCCCCTATTTTACAAGGAAGGCCAAAAAAGAGTCTGTTGCTGCTCAGAAAAATGTTTATTTAAAGCAAGCCCTTCCTGAAGAGGGTGAGGGCAGAATTTCTGTGAAAGCTGAATTGTTGTTTAGAGAAACTCCTGAAAGGGGGAAACAGCCTAGCAGAGTCAGCCAGATCCTCAAGCCAGCAGGAGCAGCGACCCCCTGGACACTGATGATGTCATTAGAACATTTTCTAAAGTTTTGAATGGGCATTCTCTCCTCTGTGCTGATTGGCTATTTGCTTCAGTTCCCTCCTTCACAATCTTTTCACATCAGCTTCACTCTACAGATGCCCTTCTTACCCTCCTAATTCCTCCCTTTCCCCTTCTCACTTGTTCTGTCTCCCCACCCCCATCCTTCTCCTGTATTTCCAGTTAGCTAATCCATGCCTAACTCTACCAACACCAAAACAAAACAAATTAAATTTGTGGAACTAACATGCCTTTTGCTGCTGTGACATTGTTCTCACCAATCATATGTTACACCCCCTTCCTTTATACTGTGTTTGTGTTGTCTATTTAAATTATAAACTCTGTGTTTGTTCAGTGCCCAACACAATGGGGCCACTTTCTTGACTGGTCCCTAGGTGCTTCTGTAATAAACATGATATTAATTAATTAATTAATTAATCTCCTGACAGCAGAGGAATGTAGGGACTTAGGATTCCTAGGTTCAGTTCCAGGTTCATGAGGGGTGGGTGCTTGATTTATATGTAGGATAACAGACCAGTTAGTCTGTTAGCAGGTATAGGACTCTTCTGCTCCTGTTCTCACCTCCCTCTCTGATCCTATCCTACCCAAATCTATGCCTATGTAGCCCTCCCCTCCTTCTGTTGCTTTCCAACCCCTGCCCCTGGCTTCTGTCCCCTCCCATTGTGCTTCCCTCCTTCACTGGCTCCTGTTTCCCACTGTTCCCTACTCCCTTCTGGTTACAGTTCACACTCCCACTTTGCTTCTCCTCACCCTCTGGTTCCTCAACTCCCTTCTCCTCATGTTCCCTCACCTCATGTCTGTTGGTGAGAGAGACAAACTTTCAAACTACACAGAGCTCTTCCCTCAGAGTACCTTTCCTAGACCTGTAGAAGAGCAGGGGAAGTGCAGCCCAGTGGTGACTCCTAGAGCAAGGGGTGGGGGAAAGGAAAGTGGATGTGGTGGTGGTTGCTTTGAGAAGGGAAATCACTGACACAGGGAGTCTTTCTCTCCTCTGAAGGGTGTGTAATGGGGAGTGGCACCTGCTCATCATCAAGAGAGAAGGAAGAGGCTAAACATCATGGATAGTGGGAATTAAAGAAGAAAACAACAAGCCCTGAGATGAGTCCTATTCATCTGCATATTGCCAGGTGGAGCTTTGAGGCCTTGCTTGAGGACTCATGGGGATAGATGGTGTCAGAAGCAACTCAGCCCTCCAGGCACTTTGTCTGATGTACTTGGGAGAGGATAGGGGGCCAGTCATTAGAAGTTAGGGGCATTAACCCCAATGGTGGACAGCTGCTACAAAAGGAGGCTGATTTTGCTGTTCATTCTGCTGGTGATTTTGGGGCAGATTTTCAGGAGAGCCCAGGCTCCAGTCTTTTGAAAATCTGGACTAAAGTGTCACAGTGGGAACAGCTGAGTGTAGAGCTCTTTTGAAAATCTGGCCTCAAGTCCCCAGAGTTTCCCTGGATCTCACAGGTATGGGGTGGGCCTTCTGCCTTGAGAGAAGAAGAAACAAGCAGAAATGTATTCAAATAGAAAAGGGAAGAGCCACAGGTTTGTTTGTTTGTTTGTTTTTAATATGTCTAGCATTGGCATCTGCTCTCACCTGCCCTGTTTGTAACTGTAAAAACACACATCCCTATTCCCAGCAGGGTGCATTTCAAAAGGTATTTCATGAAACTGGTGATTTCTCTGAGCAGATACCAGCTTCAGCCCCAGCCCCAGCCCTGGGAACTTCAAAAGCAGGCACCACAATGGATGGGGCTTAGATGGGGTTGATTAGAATCCTCAGTGTCCTGGGGCCTATTTTGTTTTTATTCATTGCATATGAAAATTAATGTGTCAAAAGTCATTAAAATGCTCTAAAAAAGAATGCTGCAAGCTAAAGAATAAGAGTGCATTTTAGTAAATGCATTTTAATTAAGAGTTGGTTTTAAAAAATTATACCAAAGTGCTGGGGAGTTAGTTATCTTGAGTGGGCCCAGCTATATTTACATTTCCAAAGCTGGCAGGTCGGGCACATATAGAGAGTCCTTCCTGTAAGTGATGGAAAGAGACTTAATTTTCAGATTGTTCTTGCGTGACACACTGTACCTCAGGATAGCACCCTGTAACCCCGATATTCATCATTCATATATGGTTGTAATGTTTCATACAGGGCATGTCACGTGAGGTATCATATGAGAGGCCATGATCAACTGAAACCCATTGTCCTGCTCAATTATGTATATCATTAATGTGTATGAAGTTATGAGATTTTGCTGTGTGGTTCTTGCTGAAATGTGTTGTAAGTTTGAGAATCTCTACTGCCAGGTGGGTGTTAACCGACCATTAATTAACTCTATGACTCAGTTGCACAAGTCCACACAATGGGTGTTTACTTGATCACTGTGACTCAACAAAGCCCATCAGGCATGCAATCACTATGATGCAGCAAAGCCCACCAGGAATGTGTTGGCAAGTGTCTTCTAGGCACATGCACTAAGAATATAAAATAGGGGACAGTGGCACCATGCTGTGGCCTTTCTCCTCCCCCACCTACGCTGGAAGCAACAAGGACACTGAGAACACAAGAACTTCAACACAGGAGACTAGTCCCAGGTTCAAGTAAGAAACCTGTGTATTATGAATTGTAACATTTAATGGGGTGAGAAAACTGCTTGATCTAAATACTGCCTAGTGTTTTAAAGTTTAAGATTTAGATTTAGATTTAATTGGGGTTGGTCCTGCTTTGAACAGGGGGTTGGACTAGATGACCTCCTGAGATCTCTTCCAACCCTAATCTTCTAGGATTCTGTAATTGTGTGTTTACCTTTTATTTTCTTGGGTAACTACCTCTGACCTGTTATGCCTACCACTTATAATCAGTTAAACTCTATCTTTCTATAGTTAATAAATCTGTTTTATATTTTACCTAAAACAATGCATTTTGCTTGAAGTGCTTGGGAACTCTCAGCTCAGGTTATAAAGCCTAGTGTATATCCTCTCCACATTGAGGGAGGGGCGGACTGGGTACTAAACTTATACTGGTCAGGCTTCTGACTAGGGCAAGACAGTACAGCGCTGGGGAGCAAGACTGGGGAACTGGGGCGGCGGAATTGGCTGGAGCTTCTCTATTGTTGGTTTATGAGTGGCTTGGAGAAGCATTCATGTAACTCAGTTGGGTGTGTCCCTTCCTGTGGATGTCTGTGTAAGTGCAGTTTTTGCACTTTTGCACTGCCAGAGTTTTGTAGCTTGTCACAGCATCACAGTATGAGAGGGAACTCAGGCTGGTGGGACAGAGGGCTCAGTGGTACACCAGTTCCAGGTTGTACCCCAAGAACTCCATCACGCCTTGTAACAGTAGAGAGCAGACACCAGCTATGCACCCTGTTGAGCATGTATAAATGCATAAAGGAGGCAAAATATTACTTACCCCAGTCTTTGTAATTTGCAGTTTTGATGTTTCAGTCCCTCACATAGTAGTTCCACTCCAGAATCTCCTATATATTGATTATAACTGAGGTCCAGCTCTGTCAGGCTCTGGCTGGTTCTGAGAACAGTGGCAAGAGCCCCACAGCCAGCGGCTGTGACACCACACCCCCACAAGCTGCAGAAGAGAGAAATGCAGAGAAGGGGAATCAAGGTGTGAATGGAGCTCATCACAGCTCTTCTGACAGGTGACCCCATCCACTAGCCCCCATTCCTGACCAATCAGCATCGAGAATGAGCCAGCAGTCCTGCTACAGACTCTGTCCCAAGCCCCACTCCTTGTCCAGTGAGAAACCAGCAGTGGATGGGACTTCCTGTCTAAACCCCAACGCTTGCCCTTTACCCTTCACCAGTCAACAGTGAGAATGGCCTAGACACTGCAAATCTCTGCCACTGACCAATGAGGAATAAGGTTTGGGTAAGACTTCCTTCCTAAGCATCGCCCACTCACCCTTTCCATTGACCAACCAGAATTCAGAAAGGGTAAAAAGTTGCCCTTTAAGTCCTACCCACTCAGGTGAGACTTGGTACTGATCAGCCCTGGGATGGTGCGACCCAATCTGAGCTGGTCCATTGCTACAGGGAGGCTGTAGAGGAGCCACCTCCCCAGGCAGCTGGGCCAGGCTCAGAGTAGGAGAAGCTGGGAGATCCTGCTCTTCATGACTGGCACTAGCTCTGCTGCACCACTGCAGAACACAGCCATCTCTTGTCTCTGCCCCCAGCCCATCAGCTTCCAGCTCTGACCATCAGGCCTGGGAAGGGGAGGAAGCCAAACAGGCCAAACAGTGGCAGAATCACACCCACCTACCTCTGAGACCAGGGAACAAAGGCGTGAGAGACAACGAGAGGAAGATCCCCATAGCAGGGTGTTACCCAGGATCTGGGGAGGGAAAAGCCCCTGAAAGGAGGGCAACTGTGTGACCCTGTTGGCAGGGCCTGTTCCAGAGTCCACGGTGGAAAAAATCAATGATTTAAAAAAAATAATAATTAAAAATCAGATTTTATTTAAATCGGATTTTTGAGGAAAAAGATAGTTTTAATTAAGATACATTATAGCTCAAAGATATCTCATCATGAAATAGGGATTATAAATTCTAATGATATAGTATGAGACAATATTGTCATGTAATGTTTAAGAAAAATTTTGTAAATGAGTTCCAATAGTTCATGGATTAGGGACCCAATCTTATGGGGTTCCGGGGGCTTCTGGGACTCAGTGCTCGGTCCAGAAGATACCATCAGAGATGCTTAGTTTTGCAGTTCTCAAACTGTGGATTTGTGTCTCCAGAGATAACATGGTTGTTAACAGCAAAAATGTTTTTAAAATAAATACATAAATAATATATAGAGGTGAGAAATAACAGACCTCAACCCTATTGTCCCTCTGCAAATTTGTGTACACAGAATCAATCTCTTACCTCTCTCTAAAAGTGCAAAGTTTCAAAAAGTTCAATGAATAGAAGATTGTTGGGGGCAGAATAGATCTGGACAAGGAGAAGAAGTCTGAAGATAAATGTGAGAAGGGAGGGACAGGCAGTATAAACAAAAGTGAAACTGTTTGAACAGCATATTCTAGAAGTCTTGAGGTCTTTGAGTGTAGCTTCATTGATTTGAGGTCTCCCATACCATTCTCTCACTAGAAGGGAAAACCTATAATGGCAGCTGGCCGTAAAAGAGACCCAGTTTGGGAATATTTTAACAAAGTTCCTCTACCTGTGGGTAAGACAAGCATGCGTGCAAAATGCAAACAGTGCAACAAAGAAATGCAAGGCCTGGTTGCCTGAATAAAACAACATCATGAGAAGTGTTCCTTCTCAGGAGGAAGCTGCATTGAAGATGATGACAGGAATGTGTCTGAATATGCAGGATCTTCAGGTTGGTAAACTTTTTTATTTCATACTTCTTTCATAAGGACTGCCTGTCTTCCTTATGGACTATTTTTGAATTCTCATGTTTGTGCAAAAAATATAGTTGTTACTCTATGGTACTATCATTTTTTGATGCAGTTGTGATAAAAATAAAAAACTGAAATAGGCAGATCTTCCTTTTAAAATTTCACCTTTAAAATAGTACTGAGTGTCAGTGAATGCAATGAGTGATACTAAATGAGCAGTATGGTAATAATAATTAAATAACTGCATTGACTTATTTTGTTTAGGAGAATCCATCCTCAACATACATGATTCTGAAGACTATCCACCTTCAACAGTTATCTGCCTATTATACTGTTTCAGTTACATCATGTATGTCACATAGCTACAGTATATCACCTGTAGCAAAAAGAAAAAAAATCTCCATCATCCAGAAAGAACCATAGATAAGTTTGTGATAAGAACCAGCAGATTACAAAAAGAGGTAATTAATGAAAAAATTGCCCAGTTTGTTTATGCAACAAACTCCTTTCCGTATGATTGAGAACCCACACTTCATTAACATGATTCAGTCATTAAGACCAGGATTCAGTCCACCCAACAGAGCAGATGTCGCAGGCAAATTGCTGGATAAAGTGTATGAAAGAGAAATTGAGCAGTGTGCAAAAAGTCTAGAGTCTTGATGGGTGGAGCAATGTTCACAATGATCCTGTTGTATGTGGTTGTGTGACAACAGAAGAAGGAAATATCTTCCTTACAGAACCAATTGATACATCAGGAAATGCACACACAGCAGAATACTTATAAGAAGTAGCAGTAAAAGCTATAACAAACTGTGAAAAAAATCAAATGTCTAGTACGCAGCTTGGTCACAGACGATGCTGCAAATATATCCAAGATGAGAAGAAATTATTTAGAAGAGAGTGAAGAGAGTCCCAAGCTAATAACATACAGTTGCAGTGCTAATTTGATGCACCTCCTAGCCAAAGACTTCAGTGTTACAGAAATAAAAGCTAATGTTGTTGAAATTGCAAAATACTTCTGTAACCACCACTATGCAACAGCTGCTCTGAAAAACAGTGTGAGGAACCAAGCTAACTCTTCCACAAGACGTGCGATGGAACTCAATAGTGGACTGTTTTGAGCTCTATATCAAGAAATGGCCTAATCTGATGACAATTTGTGAACAAAATTGTGAAAAAATAGATGGCACTGACACAGCCAAAGTTCTCAACATTGGGCTTAAGAGAAATGTTGAACACATGCTGAGAACCCTGAAGCCTATTTCTGTAGACTTGAACAAAATGCAGGGAAATAGCTGTTTTATTGCTGACGCTGTTGAAATTTGGAAGGAACTGAGTGAGATCTTAAAAAGAGAAATATGCAATGACCGAGTTAAATTACAAGCATTAAAAAACACGAATGGGACAAGCACTATCGCCAGCTCATTTTCTTGCAAATATTCTCAATACTCGGTACCAGGGTCAAACCTTAACTGCTGAAGAAGAGGAGTTGGCTATGACATGGACATCCAGCAATCATCCCTCCATAATGCCAACTATAATAAACTTCAGAGCTAAAGGTGAACCATTCAAGAAATATATGTTTGCTGATGATGTTTTAAAGAAAGTCACACCAGTGAACTGGTGGAAGTCACTTAAGCACTTGGATTCAAAGACTGTTGAAGTGATAATCTCACTTTTAATAGCAGTAGCTTTTTCTGCCAGTGTAGAAAGAATATTTTCTTCCTTTGGAATAGTTCATTCCAAATTGAGAAATCGTTTGGGACCTGAAAAAGCAGGAAAGCTTGTTTTTCTTTTCCAGATTATGAACAAACAGGAAAATGAAGGTGAAGACAACTGAGTTAGCTGCAGAAGCCAATATTTTAAGTTTTTCATGTTGACCTGTCTGACATAGTTGATTTAATTTTTTTTAAATTTCATTTAACTATTTTAGTTAAAAACAATTTTAACAAAAACAACCCTAATTTTAAAACACTTGAATGTTTAACTAAATTCAAAAATTCATATGCTTGTTTTGTTAAAATATTATATGTTTGCTGTTGAAGAAAAATATCCAGAATACATAATGTTGTTGTTTAAGTTAAATAAAACAATTTAAATGTCTGTCTGGTGATGTTATCCTCCTAATACAGCATGGCAAGAAAATCCTCCAAATATTAATGATTAATCTGTTGAATTGGAAATAGTTCACCTCTCAATGACTTCATAAATATCTGCTTCAACTACCTTTGGTAAATGAAATAATCAAACAATCATTCATTTTCTGATATAGTTGTAAAACTAATCTGAAAAGTTTTCAAAATAAATCACTTCAAAAATGTATAGTGTGTACCTTCTAAAAAATGAAACCTACATCTATCTCTGAGTTGTGAAGAATATGTATTAAGGTTATAACAACCAACAAGAATGTACTTTTATGTAGAAATCCATGATTAAATCAAGTCTTCCTGACTAGTGATTTAAATCAAGATTTAAATCAAATCCACCCTGCCAGAGTCTCTGGTGGGGTTATACAAGCAGATGTTCTGCTGGTTTCTGTAACTTCTCTGCAGAGTCTGGGCTCCTGATGGAGCTGCCAGCCAGCTGAGTGGGTAACCATGGCACCAGTCTAGTTATGCATGTGCACCTCAAGGACCACCCACAAGCATAGATGTCTTTGCTCTTCTTCAAGGCCTCACAGCAAGTTGCCTGCACTCCCAAGTATAAGCCCTCCCCACCCCAACAGCTGCTAAATCTTGCACACATCAAGACATCCCTCCCACCAGAACTGTCACCTGCATGGACTCCTTCATCACCTCAGTTGCCTTAAAAATATTGTGACTCTTCCAAATGGGGAGGGGGACCCCAACATTTGGGAAAGAAAAAAAGTCCTGAATTTGTGCAAGGGAGAGAAGTCACCATGCCTTGGGGAGCCCCCAGGTGTTGTAAGGATTAGTAGAGCTCCCAAGATATTTTGGAGGTAAGAAGAGAGGAGCCTGCAATAGGGAAGAGATTCTAAGATTGGGTTGATCAGGGGGAGAAAAAACCCCAAAGATGTATGTGGGAATCTGAAGGGATAAACCCTAATTTGGGGGAGGGTGAAGAGAAGAACCCCAGAAGATTTAAAGTCTAAAAAAAAAAAAAAGAAGAGAGAAGAGACCTGAGAAGTTGAGGAGAAAAAGACCCCAAAGTGGGGGAGGACATGTCAGGGGAATGGACCTCAACTGGGATTAAAAGGAGACCTC